CCAGGCAGGACACCCCGCAGCAGGCTCCTTTGCCACCAAGTTCCCACCTTCAGGCAGCAAGGCCATAGCCCACTGCTGTGACCTCACGGTCCTTGGCAAGGGGGTAGGTTGGGGGTTCGTGGAGGTCCACTGAGCACCCCGGGCACCCATGCAATTGCTAATAGCACCCTGTCAACCCATGTGGATGACCATGTACACCCCCATGCCTGCCTCCCCTCTGTAAACAACTTGGAGACCAGCTTTGCAGCAGAACCTGACTTCTCCACCTGCACCCAGGCTACTGAGCTTCTAAAGCAGAACAGGTCTTCAGTGAGGAACGCAGGGGAGTTCCACCTGGGCCCCAGACCCACTGGAGGGATGGGGGCCTGGGAGTCCTCTCTCCAGAGTGTGTGCGGCCTGGCTGGGCTCGCCGCAGTCCAGCCGCCCTGTCATAGGCTGGCTCTCACCATCGGAGGTGCCATTCTGTCTGCACTTTTTAGCTCTTGGCCCCTGAGGCTGGGGGCTAGGAGGGCACGGCCTCCGCCCCGATGAGGGGCTGTGAGGGCAGCTCGGCTTGAGTGGTTAGACGGGGCTTCTCTTCCCCTCAGAGTCCCCAGGTCCTCCTCCCCCAACAGAACCCTCAGTGCTGCACCTGGTCACCATCACCCTCTTGACCCTGAGGTCCCCACAGGGGACCCGCAAAGTTCCCCAGGCCCCTGATTCTCTGCAGTGACAGTGCTGTCCTGGGACAAATGTCCCCACCATCTTCCATGCTAATTCAAGGCTGCCTTCTCCCCCACCCTGCCCTCCCTTGAGCTCCACCCTATGTACCACAACAGTGCCTGGCATGCAGAGATGCCCAGGAGTGGAATGCCCTAAATTCTGGATTTGGAAAAGTGGGGGGAGGGGACGTGGGTGGAAGGGCAGGACAGGGAGCCCTTCCCTGTTCCTGTCCACAAGGCTGGCCCAGGACTCCCCAACAACCGTCAGGCCCCAAATTGCCGCTGACCTGGGAACATGGCTCCCACTTCCCCTGTGCTGGCCTAGCTCTGCTGCCCACTGGGGAGGGGGGCACACAGACAAGCTCAGCCCCCATCCTCCAGCCCAGATCCCCCCTCCAGTGTGCAGCAGCACCCTCTGCCCACCCAGAACCAGGTGTGAACCAGGTGGCTCAAATGCCCTGCTGATCTGAGCTCCCAGGGACCTCCAAGGAAGTGGACCCTTGCCCTGGGTGGTGCCTGCCCAGATCCTGCCCCAGCAAGGGTCCCCTGTGGGGGCAGGGTGGGGGGACCCTCTGCCTCCAGCCTATCCCAGCCCCGAGAGTGCAGCCTTCACACCCTCCCAATGAAGAGTTCCAGGGCAGAGCTCAGTTTGCACCCAGGGCTCAGCAGAGCTGGCTGGGAGCTGCTGGGAGGGATGGGAGTAGGGCGAAGGGGGGCAGGAAGCCAGCAGGGTCGGGGAGCTAAGGGGCAGGCAGGTCCCCACTTACCGCTCCTGCTCCTCCTTGCCCTTGTCCGGCTCTCGGTCGTGGTTGGTCAGGGCTGAGACCCGCTCGGCGTCTGTGGGCTTGGGCCACGGGGGTGGCGTGGGGAAGGAGGGTGGTGCCCGGTGCAGCCGGTTCCAGGCCTCACGTGGGCTGGGCAGGCCGTGCAGTGTGGGACCCTCCTTGGGGGCAAAGATGCTGCCGCCAGGAGCTGGGGGGTGGGGGTGGGTGGCAGTGGGAGAGTGAGGTCTGTCCAGTGCCCCATCCACCTACACCAAGGCCCCTGTGGAACCGCTGGGGGAAAGCACTGGATTCCCAGCCCCAGGCCCAGGTGTACCCCAAGGAGCAGCTGGAGGGGGATGGTTGCCCTGGCCTTGGTGCAGCTCAGATGGGCGCAGGTGTGGGTGAAGAACACATGTGCGTGCACCTGTGTGCGAGGGGAGGGTGCGGGCGCAGGGAAAGCAGACGGCACGTGGTCACTTACTCAGCGTGTGACTGCCCAGGCCTCCGAAGGCGTTGCTGCCCAGGCTCCCCAAGCCCCCAAAGGTGCTCGATCTGCTGAAAGGGTCTGTGGGGGCAACCAGGGCTCAGGGGTCCCCATGTGTGCACCAGGCACCCCCTTGCACCCCGACCCACTGGGTCCAGAACCTTGCAGGTGCCACCTATGCAATCTGAGGGGTCCCCTGGTTCTCAGGGTCACTTCCCCACCTACATCCCCCAGCCTTGAGGTCAGCAAAGGCCAGCTGGACTGCATGGACCTCGGGGGGCACGTACCTGCCAAGTGACCAGTGGGTAGGAAGCTGCCAGGATGGGCTGAGGGTCCGAATGGGTTGGTGGGGGGATGGGAGGCACCTGGTGGGGGGAGGAGTAGGTTGATGGAGGCCTGAGTGCACCTGGGGCCTCCCATCTGCAGCTGGTTCCCAGGGTGGGTGCACCCCAGCTTGCTCTACCTCGCTCCAAGCACAAGACCAGGAAGGGGCTTTCGTCTCCCAGGGATCTGGAGGGCCTCGAGGTGGGGGCAGGCAGGGACGGAGGGAGGGGCTGATGGCCGTGGGGCCCCCAGAGGAAAAAGGGCAGAAAAACAAGGCTCAAGGCTGAGCCCTCTTGGGCTGCCCCCGAAGTCACCCCCTGGACTTTCTAGCCAGAGCTAACAAATGATCCCAGTCACCCAACTGGGGGTGGGGCCCGGGTGCTGACGGGCACCGGCCTGTGTCACGGCTGCCGAAGGAGGAAGTTCCTCCTCTGGTGTCCCCTGGCTGCAGGCCACCGCTCCCAGTGTCACTGCGGCATCAGCCCTGGCTCCCAGCACCCCTCAGAACCAAACCTGGAGGGCAGCATGGCCCTGAGAAGGGGTGATCAGGACACGGCTGATCCTGCCACTTAGGGTGGGGGACCCACTCATCAGTCCAGAGGTGGATCTCTGGTGAAGCCGGTGACATGGGCGCCCCCTCATGTCCTTCCAGCTCCCTCCACCTCAACAACAGTGCCTCCCGAGTGCCTGCTGGTGAAGGCTGCGGCCGGGCTCCTCCAGCCAGACACATGCAGGTCCGAATCTCCACAGAGCTCCCAACGGGAAAGTTACCCTCACTCCTAAGTGACTCTAAGTCAAAGATACCAAACCACTAGTTAGGACACAGCGGGCCCCAGGGCTAATGAGACGGCGTATCAGAGCACGCGGAGGGTGACTGGGGAAGCGTGTTGCCTTAGAAAGGGACAGGAGGAAAGGGAAAGAGGGTGGCAACCTCAATACAGATGGAAGGAAGAAAACACGCCAGAGACGGAGGAGCGAGCAGAGCCAGCCACAGGACGGTGCCAGACAAGCAAGGAGGTGACCAGGTGTCCAGGGACGGACAGCCCAGTCCCAGGAATCAGACGGTCTCGATGGGGCCTGTGCTGGGGGAGGCAGAGCAGGACGGGGCCCTGGGTGGGTGGGGCTCAGGCCCCACAAAGTACAGAGTGGCCCAGGCTGTAGCCCGTGGGCTCTGGTCAATGAAGGCTGCTGGCTTGCAGGGCTGAGCCCCGGATGGGAGGCCCTTTGCTTTCTGAGGGACCCAGATGCCTGGGAGGCCCCTCTGCGTGGGCTGGGGCCTGGGAGCCATCAGGGCAGTGGAGCTGGGGCTGACCATGCTCATGAGGCCAGCCAGTGTGACCCCATCCACGCCCATCACCCCAGCATGCCGACGGGACGCACTCACAAGCCACATGTCCACCTGCAAGGGGGCACTGGGTGGTGGTGGGTATACATGGACTCAGAGCAGCAAAACGGGAGGCCAAAGAGCGGTTGGGGAGGTGACACCTCTGAGGAGGTGACATCCTGCTAGGGCCTGACAGCTGGGGAGGAGGGAGCAGCAGGCCTGGAGTGCAGGCTCCAGGCCGCCAGCCTTGGAAAGGCCTGTGTGCACAGCTGCCCTCGGCTGGTGTCTGGGAACTTGAGTTTCAGGAGGCTTCTCACTTTCCTCTCAGGAATGCCTCACGCACGCTTAGGGTGCTCGTGCCAACAACGTGGCTTATGCTGAGCACCTGTTCTCCCTCTGGGAGTCGGCTGTTTTGGAACCTGCAGGCAGAGGCGCCTGTGTGACCGGCCCCTAGTAAGACCCTGGGCTCTGGGTCTCTCTGAGCTTCCTCGGGTGACAGCGCCTCTCACGGTGTCACCGCTCCTGGCTGGGGAAACGAAGTGTGTCCTGTGCTCCTGACTCTGACTCTCCGCCCTTCCTCCCTGGCTGACTGCTGTGTCTGTCTGTCGCCACGCTCCAGCTGGGGGTGATGTGCGCTGGGTCCTGGGGTTGATCCCAAGGACGCTGACACAGCAAGCCCCTGGAGGGGTGCCGGTGCGGGCGAGCATGGGGGTTCTCAGGAGCAGTTTCCTTCCATTCTGAGAAAAGCCGAACCTCCCCAGGAGGGAGGCAGGGACTGGGAGGCCCCAGGCTAGCAGAAGCATCTGCGGGAGGAGAGGGGTGAGCACAGCAGGACTGCCAGGGCCTCGTTCTGGCACCAAGACACGAGAACGCTGCCCAGCGGCTGGAGCTCTGCTCCCGTACTGGCCAGAGCGACGAGGCGGGGCGCTTCTGCCCGAGGCAGGCCCCTGCTCGCCCAGGGCTGGGGCCCGCACCTCCTGCAGCCCGGTCCACCTTACCGGAGCCGGAGAAGAGGGGCCGGGCCAGGTCCTGCGGGTAGTGGAACCCGGCGAACACTCCTGGGGCGGGGGGTCTGCCGAACAAGTCCAGCTTGGTGCCCACGTCCAGCTTGTGGGGGTCCAGCTGCAGCTGCCGAGACAGAGCACGTGCTTGCTGGGAGGCTGGACTCTCTGTGCTGCCAGGGCCACGCCTGCAGCCCTGAAGAGCCAGCAACGAGCTGGACCACAAGTGCGGTCCTGCCTGCTCCACTGGCCTCGCCCGGCAGGCGGTCGGCCAGGTTAAGACTCATCCCAGTCACGCTCCAGCCGACTCAGGAAAACCGAAATGTCGTCAATGACCGATGCAGGAGGGTTTTAGGGGAGGTGTCTCCTTTCTACACAGCCTTTGAAAGCTGGTGTGTTTTACGCTTAAAATGCATCTCAGCTTGGATGCTATATTTTTACTGGAAACACTTTGAGTTTAGATTTTGTAAAGTTGAGCTGAGAAAGTGCATTCACACCTGAGTCATTCCAGTTTTCCAATGACTCAATTCAGAGCCAGTATTAAGATTTAAATTGATTAAAGTTAAATGAAACTTGGAAGCCAGTCCCTCAGCAGGAGGGCCACAGGAGGCACGGGGCCTGGCTGAGTCCTTGGTTCCACCTGCTGTGGTGGCAGGGACAGCCCCCCGCCCTGTCGCCTCCACTGTGCCTTCGAGGGGGTCCTATCTGAACTTCTGCATATGGAAACACACGGGACTCCGTCACACATCCCTTCCCGTGACTGGTCCTTGGTAGCCTGTTTAGGACATGATGATTTTAAAACATTCTGTATGGGGTAACACGTGTTACCGGGTATGGCAGGAAAGGGTGCTGGGACTCTCCTGTGATATGGGGGGGGGGTGGGGGTCCCATCCTGACCTCCTGGGAGGGGCCTCTTCCCTGCGTCACTCGGCCAGGGTGCCTGGCACCACCCCCTGGGATGGGGACGGCCCCGAGCTAGGTTCTTGTTCACTGTCTGTCCCTCCCAGGAGCACACAGGCTCCGTGAGCACTTTTAGTCTCCTCTGTCCACTGCTGAAAACCCAGGCACATAGCAGGCACTTAATGAAGGAGGCAGGGCCAAAGGTCCCCAGGAAGGCTTGACTGGCGGTGGGACCAGCACAGGTGCCCATGGTCACCAGGACCGCAGGGTCGGCTCCTCCCAAACCCCCACCTAGGTCATCCTGGGAGAGCAGGGGGGAAGGGACCTTGAGTTCCCTGCACACGGCTCCTGCCTCCTCCCTGGCTCCAGCCCATCATAGCCCAGCCCAGCACCCGGGCAAGGGGCACACTGCAATGCCTGAGGATCTTGGACACACGTGGACACACGGGAACGCTGGGGAGGACGTGGCCCCAGAAGGGTGTGTCAGGGATGCCCTCTGATGCTAGGCCTGGCTGGTAGGACACGCAGTCAGGCTCACCTTTATCTTCTGCTGATGGTGGTAGATCTGCCAGGCAATCTGCACGTGCACCGCACACCACTTCCCAGGTTTCTGCCACGGGGTGGGCGACAGGCTCAGCTGGGAGGCCAGGACCGCCTCGCTCTGGCCTGCTGTATCACCCCCAGACTCCTGTGGGCACAGTGCACCCCCATGGCCACCCAGGAGGTACCCAGAGTCCTCCCCAGCCTCAGACCTTCCCTGAGGTCCCACCAGGCCTCTCCCTCCCAAGGTGAGACGTGCACACACACTCACCCTGACTGCTGTCCGGTACGGGTCGGACACCTGTCATCAACGGAGAAGGAAGCATCAGGCCCAGGCTGTGCAAGCAGCCAAACCCCGGGGGGGTTGAGCACACACCTAGGTGGGCCTCCACGAGTGGCTGGGAGGGGTCAGGCTGCCCCCACGGGCAGAGGGAGAGTGGGAAGGCAGCGACCTACCCCGGGGGCTTTCTGCAGGAGGGTGTGAACAGCACTGGCCCGGCCTGTTACCTCGAGTGGGTTTGAAGTCTGAGGGGAGAGAGGTACAGGGCCTTGTAAGACATCTCTGCAGGTCCCAGGAGGCAAGAGAGCCCCCCCGGTGCCCATGCCTGCCTCACCCGCTGTGGGGCCCAGCACATGGCCACCCAGGGGCTGCCCGGTTTCCCACCGTATCCTCAGTCCAGAGGTTTCTGAACAGGTGGGAAGAGGCTCCTCCAGTGTCTCCCCGAGGCCCAAGACAGCCCCGCTTCAGAGCAAGCCCAGCGCCTGGTCCTGGGCCTCGGGGGGCCTCCTGCCACGTGGATGGCCCCGTGCGGCCCCCTACCCAGATCTTACCCTGCGCTGCTCCTCCCACCCCCAAGTCTCAGCGCTCCCAGCCGAGGAGGGTGAGAATGGGCGAAGCAGGGCTCTCCAGGTCCCCTGGTGGACAGAGGGCCCCACCAAAGGCCCTCGCCTGGGATCACAACACGCACAACGTCACGAGAGGCAGCTGGAGCTGCCCGGGGTGGTGGCTGGGGGGTGGTCCTGCAGCCCCCACACCCCGTGCCCACCCTGTCCTGGGAGGAGCTGGTACCTTGGGCTGAAAAGCACCCTGCAGGGATCCAAAGGGACCTGGGTGCGGGAGCAGGGCGGGCAGTCCGGGGACGGCTGGAGGGAAGGGCGGGCAAAACTGCAAGAGAAGGAAGGGGGGGCGTTCCAGGGGCCTTGGCTGGGTGCCCGGGTGTCCCTGCCCCGTCGCCCCCACACTAGTTGGGAGGCTACAGCGACAAGGCGCAGCCCTACCCTCCACACCCCCCAACGCTGAGCCCGCCTGGAGAGGCCCGAGCAGACTGCACGGGCCGGAGCGCGGGACACTCACATTGGAATGTCGGAAGTAGGCGCTGTCCAGCTTGGGCGTGTACTTGTCAAACTGGAAGGGAAGAGGGCAGAGGGTGAGGCCTCCTGACCATGCCGATGCCCTCTACTGGGCCAAGCCCCCACCCACCCCGTCAGGCCAGGCAGTGGCCAGGATGCTCATCCTGGCTTCTGACGCTGGGGGCCTCCAGCCAGCTGTCCCCCAGGCTCCCCGAGGGTGCTGCCCCCATGGTCCTGAACAAATTCCGTGGGGCCCAGGTTCTGACTGGGCAAGGCCCTTCCCTGTCCTGCCGGTTCCTCCATGGGATGTGCAAGCTGGCCGACTGGGTGGCCTACAGGTGCCGCCAGCTGAGGCTGGGAGGTGGTTGCAGCCATGATGCGGGGGTGGGCATGGAGCCCAGGGCTGGTGGTCAGGCTGCAGGACACACACAGGCCACCAGCAAACTGGTCAAACTGTCAAAGCAAAGCTGGCGGGAGCAGAGGGAACTCTGTCCTTCCCTCAGCAGCTGGCTCAGGAGACGAGACCTCGAGGCCTGGGAACATGGGAGGGGTCCTGGTTCCCACGGCCCCTCAGTCCTGTCAGGCCTCCAGACCTGCTGCTTCTCTGCCAACTGAGACGTTGAGGACCCCACGTAGATGCAGCTGGCCCCATGGCCATGTTACACACCGGGGGGATATGGGGCGCTCACTCAAGCCCAAAAGAGCGGCGGGGTAGGAAACATGGAGGTATGACCCGGGCGGGGACCAGGAGGGGCTGGATGAACAGACGGACCGATAGGGACGGTGTC